TCGAGGACTGCTCTGTATGTCCCTCCCTCTCGCACCTTCAGGTTTCATCTTAATCTGACCATGTGCCTCATTTTTTAAGTGATTTCCCGGCTTCCTCTTCTCAGGTAAGATCGCATAGACGTGCTAACTTCGGACAACCTCCATACTGCTATCTGATGCGCATATTTGTCATACGGATTTCATTCCTGCACAATATTTCTTACTGATTCAAGTGGTACGCCAATGAACACCTGCTGTTTCTTCCCTAATGCTTGGTGCATGTGATGCAATTCTTTTTTTTTTTGGATAGCCTCTGATGAAAATGAGCTCCCATGTAGCTTGGGAATATAGACTGATGATCTTGAAAGGCCCACGGATTCTATCTCTTGGTCCAAGGAAAGAACAACTTCACGGATTCTATCTCTTGGTCCAGGGAAAGAACAACTTGAGATGCTACATGTAATTGATTCCTCATGAACTGTGATTCATTGCGATTTCTATAAGAGGTAACTCATACTCAGATCTCCATACTTTTGCCGACCTATTGGTTCTTAGGTTCAGTTGTTTCATAAATTCTGCGTGCCATATTTGGGCTACCTACTATTTCTATTAGTTTCCGGCTGTTCTTCGGCCCCAGTTCGTTTGTACCTTGCTGTTTTGCTTTTGTTATAATTCAGTCAATTTCGATTACGCTGCTTGCTTTCTCACTTCACAGTTCATTTTTCTCATACATTCTATCTCTTGGTCCAGGGAAAGAGCAACTTTAGGTGCTACATGAAATTGACTCCTCATGAACTGTGATTCATTCCAATTTCTATAAGAGGTAACTCATATGCTCAGATCTCTGTATTTTTCCCAACCTATTGGTTCTTAGGTTCGATTGTTTTAGAAATTTTGCGTGCCATATTTGGGATACTTGCTATTTCTATTAGTTTCCGGCTGTTCTTCAGCCCCAGTTCGTCTGTACCTTCCTGTTTTATTTTTGTTATAAATTGGTGCTCTACGATGACATGCTTTAGGTCTCACCTTTTTCCAAGATGCCTCCAAAATTCATGTCTCTGTTTCTTAAAACACTTCTAATTTGGGTGTTATTTTCCTTCATTATCTCATGGTTCCATGTCAATTGTTTGGTAGAATTCAGATCTAATGGTGTTCTTATCCCACTGGAATATTTTGCCCTTACCGTTTATTACTTCTGCTGAAAAGATGAGGTGGCAGAGGTTGATGCTTTACATAAAAAATTTGGCCTCCATTTCCTACACTGCAGATGCCATTCTTACCCTGATGTTTAAACATGGAGTGCAGTGTTTCATCTCACAAAAAACATTTGCCTTCCTATCGCAATCAACGTAGTTCTGAACAAAACATTAAACTGTCGACGGCAACTGTCAATAAACATTAAACTGTACAAAAACCTGAGCATCTTCTACTGGATTTATCTTATCTAGCCATGAATCATGACATTGCAAATGTGGTTCTTCAATTGGATTTTTTTTCCGCTATAGTTTTGGACTCATGCTTCAGCTTATCAGCAGGTCTATTCATCTGCATAGATGGCCTCAGGATGATAGCAAAATGAACGGCTTCTTTTATGGTGCTGTTGCAGACTCAGACTCCTCTTTATGCCAACAGGGTACATCATTTCAGTTTGCGTTCGTGTGTGTCCTCAGATTTAGGCACTTATGTTTTCCTGTCTGTTACAAAATTTGCCATTTTAATTACCCAATGTTGTTCTTTGCGAGATCACATATTGGGATTCTATACATGCTACTCAAATTATGTTTAACACTCCTTCCTAATTTCTTTGCGATTCATTGCATTTGCCTGACCGCCATCCTCCCTAAATTTATGTACGATGTTTAGACTCATTTCACTTCGACATATACTGTCTATACATGCTGTATACAATTTTTTAATATCATACCTCCCTAAACTGGTGGACCTTCTGAACAGGTGAAATTAATTAGGCATGTGTATCTACTGCCTGATAAAATATGTATTCAGTAATTGCTGCTAAGTTCCTAACAACAGTGGTACTATTCAAACTTTCAGAGCAAGTTACTCGGTTATGTTCTCAAACCATTTTAGTCCTACTGTCTGATAAAATATGTTGCTACGTAGGTTTACGTTTCCTGCTCTTTACATAATCCTTTTTCTGTTTGCTCCATAATCTATAGTATTGCACCACTTTGCTGTCATCAGGTGTTAAGCCCCCTGCCACCCACCCAAACGACGATTTCCTCAGTTAAATGCTCTGTTTGTTAATCTCTTTTACTTCTACTATCAACTTTCAAACCTCCTCCTTGGTCTGTACACAGGTATCAATTGGTTCAAGTGTAAAGAGAGTAGATTTCTGCGTTTTTGGTTCAGTACATATGCAAGATCAGCATCTTCCCACCATCAGCACATGTCCATCGAATCACCAAACCTTCTTACTTTCGTAGTCCTATTGTTCCTGTATAAAATCTGTTATTATGTTCACTCTGTTTATACATGGTACAAAACTACATGTTGTATTTGGATCATAATTGCCTGATGTATACCACCTTTGCCACTACACCTAAGTCTGTTGGACACGGTGTGTACTGCCGCCCGCGCGAAGCGCGGGGTTACCTGCTAGTTAATGTTTAGTTTTATGAAATTTTTGAAAGGTCATGATTTAGGGAAAAAAAATTTAGCCTACCCCAACTTGCTTGGGACTAAAAGGCTTTGTTGTTGTTGTTGTTGTTGTTGTTGCATGATTTAGGAAAAATGTTAACATCTTGATGTGTCATGTTGTTAGTTCAATGTCTGGTTGATAAACAACCAATCAACTTGTGGGTTGACAATTAAAATACTTTTAGAACATAAACTCTAGCTCTTAGCGAAGGAAAGTTGTACTCAAATACGATAACTTTGTTTAAGCTCATCCATGCACTTGTATGTCTCTCATCATGCATCATGTCATGCATTTCATCATGTTAAAGCATGCATCATTATTTACGTGTAGTAAACGAGAGCGAGAAGATTCGTGTTGATCAAGCTTCGGAGAAGGTTCATCCACCAATGGTGTTGGTGTCAAGTTCAACTTCGGTGATCCTTCTGCGGATTCTGACCTTCCCTGCAACACAGGCAAGCCCCGGAGCATCCAACCCGTTCCTTATATTTACAAATACTTTTATCATTTGAGTCCTATAATATGTGCATTAAGTAAAATAGGAAATGGTTGTATACCCAATTGCTGCATGATTACCTTGAATTTCAAATATCCTTCCTTGTCACCCCACTAGTATGTAGGTCGATACCTCTGATGCTTAGTAATGCTTAGACTTCGATAGAAGTCAAATGATGATTCATTGTTCGCGGGAAATAGGTTTTACCTCTACTCTTCTCGGCTCTGCTTATGGGTCGTGAGAATACCATGATGTGAATAATGTTTAAATCGAGACCGGGCGGGTGGCTTGCATCGTGAAATGAGTCGGTGTAGTGCTCCGCCTATGTCAATTAAGGACCGTTCGATGTAGGCCACCGTGTGGTCGAGACTTTGCAGTACTGGCCACATACTCTGGTAACCCTGATACCTCGGCTATTCCTTTATGGGAAAGGACAACCGCACACTGGGAGTGGAGAGATGGTGGGAGTAGCGTGTACCCACCCTACGGATCTGGGATGGACGGAAGCATCTAGGTTGACGTAGGGCGGTGGAGTACTGTGCTCCCAGATGGCGCGAACCCGTTCCTGTTTTGGAGGATCCGTGGGAAGGGTTGATATATGTAGGTCCAGGACCTGCATATGTCGTGTGGTTGGGAATCCCCAACTGGGCTTTAATCGGTTCGAATCGTCGTTGCTCCTCGGTTATGGAGACTCGACCCTCTGACCACTCATCGTAGTTTAATCAATGGAACATGGTTACTTATGGAAAAGAGATGAGATGAGATATGATGATTAAAGAAGTGCTTGATTTAGAACAGGTGCAAACTTGTTACTACTAATGATTTAATGTTGAGCTAAAACATTAAAAGTAAGGACCAACTTGTAGTAAGCTTTTCTGCAAAAGTTATACTTCAGACTATCCCCTTAAGCCTGCATACCCTTAGAGTCTTTTCTTTTAGTCGGGTAAGTCTTGTTTAGTACCATCTCGTACTTAGGGTTTGTTAACCCCTGTTGCTGGTTATGACTTATGATGTTAATCAAGGTCATGTCGATGGGCTCGACATGATCTGGCTCTCTTCTGTCTTAAGTACTTTACTTAAATTGCTTTCTATAGTTCTACTCATCTTTTGAAATTAAGTTTTTACTAAAAAGTCACTTAATGTTGTAACTCTTCCGCAACTTTGATGTATGATATTTTTGTATCAAATGTTGTAATGTTGTGGCTACTCCATTGTTGATCCTGTATGAGTTGTAAATTGTGGATGATTCGGGGTTCCTCGAGGACACCCGACAGACTACCGGATTATCAGGCTTTCGTGTACAACAGTCAGAGGTCTTTAGGACAATGACGGGTGCACGTGGGCCATGTAATTTGGGTGGTTCTGCCGCACTACACCGGTCCGGTTCACTTAAAAGACCGCCTGTGCAATCGAACCGCCAAAAACCGGTTGAACCGGCCGGTTTTTTACGGAACCGGCGAACCGGCCCGGTTCCATATGAACCGGAGCGGTTCGTTAGCTTATCCAAAAATACCCCTTAGTGTGCTCAGGTTAACCTTATCTATTCAGGGGTAGTATTGGTAAACTGGCAGGGCTTCAGGGCTTCTGGCCGCGTGAGGGAGGGAAATTTTCCCCTTTCCTCGTGCGCAGGAGGTACCGATCAAGGCCGGTGGCGGCGCATCGAACGACTACGGCTACTGCTGCGGGCAACTGCTGCAGCGGCAGGCGAGCTGAGGCGGCCAGCGACTGTGGCCAGGGGCAGCGGGCTGTGAGCTGAGGTGGGCGGCGGCAGTTGCACATCGAGCTGCCGCGGGTTGCGGCCAGGGGTGACGGCCAGCGCCCAGGGGCTTCGACGCGTGCAAGGCGCACTGCTGCGTTGGGCAGCGACGCATGCAAGGGCGGGCGGCGGCGAGCTGCTGCGTCGGCAGCGACGCCGGCGCGCACAAGGCCGCAAGGGGCGGGCGACTTTTGGTGCTACTCTGCTCTGCTCCTTCTTGTCTACTCTGGATCGTGACTATTGCTGCTCTGCGCCTCTGCTCTAGCAGTCTAGCTTCAGCAGCGGCAACATCGACGTCAACGGCTGCAAGTGCAGGCTGCTACTGTGCTCCATTCCAGAAGCCCCTCCACTCCACCTCCAGCTCCGGTGTGCTCCAGGACATGGCTAATGGTGAGCTTTCAAGTTTCAACTTTCAAATGTTTATTAGGCATATGTCAATTGAATATTCCTGAAGCTCTCTAGTGTTGATTATTAGGCATATGTCAATTGAAGATTCCTGAAGCTCTCCGCATAGTGTAAAACCTTGTGATAGTTGATAACCTTTCAAAGTATATTAGGCATCTTCAGATCTTTTCTTTGGCTGCTCTTGATGCTTTCTGGTTAAGACTATACTCAAGAGTATTAGGCATCTCGAGATCATTCTGTATCTGCATATGTATATGTATGAATTTTATGGTTGTACAATTAAATTGTGTTTATGGGATTGTTCCATATGTCAATTATTAATTATAGCATATATGTATATACCGGTTCAAGTATTTGTGACCGGTTCAAAACAATCGAACTGGAGGTTGAATAAACGGTTGGACCAATGAACCAGTGAACCGACGGCCTCACCGGTTCGATCTCCGGTCCGGTCCTAATAACTATGCTTCTCACTCTGCCCAGGTGAGATGATCATCATGTCTGGGCTGTGCATCTGCTGCCGCTGCTACGTCGGTGGCTAGCTTGTTTGTGTGCGATGGATGCTGCTGCAGCCTGCTTTCGTTGGACGATGCTGCGTCTTTGCCTGTCTTGTGTGCCTTCCTTTCTGCGTGTCTGGCTGGCTAGTCGGCGACTGGATTCCCGGCGAGCACAGACCTTGTGTGGTTTAGCTCTTCAGTTTGTTTACTGATCTGGGACTGGCAGCCAAGGCATTTTTTTTTAGAAAATGGAAAACGGCAGCCAAGGCATATGCAGCCGAGTTGGTCTGCCTGCCTTGACGGCCAGCCTAGTGTGTTTGGTTTGCAAATAACAAAGGCTTTTAACTGGGCCTGCCGATGCGTGTGCTCCAGTGAACGTGTGGCTTGCCATCGCAGCTGGGTGTGCTTGCAGTGGTGCGCCCACCTGCCGATGCGTCTGTCTGTGTGCTTGATTTGTGTGGCTTCAGCTTGTAGAAGTGATACATACTGTAATAACTAATAAGCGCAGCATGTGGCTGCCTGTGTCGTGTGCGATTTCATTGATCATGGTGGTGCTAGCTGGTCTCGTGTGCGTGGCTCTTGAATGCATATACTGGTTATTGTATCCGTGAACCTGTTTAAGCTACAATTTATGATTAAAATGTTTGTGGTGTGCGATCGACTCAAATACAGATATGCTTTCTGTTTGTGTGGCTGCATTGTATTGGTGAACTATTGAGCACACATGGTATGTCGTTGGTATAGCTGAACATCGAAATAATTAGTTATGCATATGGCTCTCTGTGGCTGATGTGTATCTCGGTGAACCACTGATCAAAACACGCATGCTGTCTGTTTGATGATGTAACTGAACATCGGAACAATTATGCTGGTTTCTTGTTTTCTTTTATTTTCCATGCAGTGCAGACAGTCTGGTAATTCTCCTCGTTTTTGTATCTCTGTGGGCTCGATTGCCCCCGCCTTTGTAAACTGTTTGGTAATACAAGTGATCGACCGCTATTATGTTCCAAAAGAAGAAAGAAAGAGCGGTAATGTTTGGGGTGGGACGTCCTCAAACCCCAACGCGATGGTGTTACGGTGGGAATTTCTTACGTGTAATTTTATTGTGATAGGGACGCGATGATGTTGCAGCAGGAGATCGAGATGCTCCAATCTCAATGACGAATGTTGCGGCGAGAACCTTTTATGTGCATTTCTACTGCGATAGGGATGTGATATCTATGATGTTGCGGCATGAGATTTGTTGATTATTGACGTATTATTGATGTTGTAATAGTTGTTTTAAGATTTAACAATGGGTTGATCTGTGATGTTGCGGTGGTTATTTTCGAGATGTATGACACATAAGATGATGTTGCAAAATTTATTCTAGATGTTTCAATAATTGCAACCAAAAAAAGATGTTTCAATAATTGACTTGCCTTGTTATACACCTTTTTAATCTAGTTGGCTAATTCTATTTGTTTTATTGATATTTTTTAAAAAATAATTTACTTGTACAATGTTGCACCTTTAGTTTAAAAATGTTGCGACTATAATTTTCAAATGTTGTAAAAGGTAACTTTTTTATGCTCAGTTCTGCAAGAACATATTTCTTCCAGATATGGACCGGGTTTCTTGCTTCTACACAAGCTATTTTCAAACCCGCCAGGTTTGTTCCTTTTTAACTCGTTCCACTTTCATCTCTCCCGTGTTGATGTTATAAAACTTTGTTTCTGCATGTTCTCACTCGAGATGTTGCGCGAAACATGATGTTATGTTGCGTGTAAATTTTGAATTTTCTATCCTAATAAAATCGGGTGACAAAGCTATTTCATACATGTTTTTTTTTTAAATGTTGTAATCGGTGATTTCTAAAGTTGCAGTAAGTATTTCATAATGTTGCGACCGAGCATCCGATGGAAAATTTTCTATCGTATGTCTGGACTAGGGTTCAAAAATTTCGGTGGAATTCCGTCGGGAATTCGCAAATCCTGGTCTTTTTTGTTGTGACCGTTCACTGTTATAAAAGCATATTCCGGTTGTCATCAATATTAGTTTGATAGAAGTTCACTCGTTGTGTTGTGAGGTCTAGGGATTGAATCCCAAGCTTTTTTTAAGTCTTATTTTTCAAGACTTACAAGCAGGTCGCGTTTAAAACTATGCTGCAAAATTAAGAGCTTTTGCTAGGATCGAACCAAGGACATGTGGATTCAGGATATATTGTTACTAACCAACCTGATGTATAGAAGATTTTTTTATGAAATTCCAGCACCACAAAATCTATTTGTCAATTTTTATATGACCGGAATCCCCAAACAAAAATCCCAGAATTCGCGGATTTGGATACTTTCGTCTGTGAATGCGGTAAGAAAGTGATCACCAGAACCAAAATCCCTGGTCGGAATGAAGAAAGAAACAAGGAGTCGCCAAAGATAGATAGTATTATCTATCTCTCTTTAGACAAAGATCAAAGAAAAGGTTGCATGCTGGGTAGCTGTTCGCCTGTTCTTTTTACTGGCTGGGCCATACATGATGCTCGTTGTCTGCTCTAATGAACGCACGCATACAGTTCATCTTTAGTAAAAGGAAGCAAAGGAACCAGATTTCGTTCCTTTTCCTGTTGCATTTGGAAAAGAGAAGCGATAAGAGCGGTGAGAAGCAAAGGAGACAGGGAGGCAACATGGAAGAAAGGAATCTACTAGCTGAATGCTTTGGGAGGATGTCCAGCACTGCACTGACCTTCAGATCAGCTAGCTGCACGCCGTTACACCACCACCACTTACCAGCAGACCACAAGCGGCTCGAGATCATTTGCCGCCATTGTTGCCCACTTGCCGCCTCTCTTTCTTAGCTTATTATCTCACGGATCATCCCAGCAGGGAGCGGATCATATTTCGGAATATCTAGCTAGGTTGGTGCTGCTCTTCTAGTCTCTTCTGCGAGATGCATTAGTAGTGTGCTAGCTCGTTGACAATAAGTAAGCACTAGGTATCTACACATTACTCATAGTTTAATAACAATGCAGGAGAGGAGAAAGAAAGATTGATTATCATACCGATCTCTCATGGGTTAGATGATTCGTCGATAATCGCTGCGCCTTCTCTCTGTTAACTTGGCTTGTTGGCCTTCCACGACAGCAGAGTTGCTCATCATGTTAGAACTGGTACTTCTCTAATTTGCTGTATTGCTTTAATTTATTTACCTTCCCCTAGCATCAGGTATGGTACACTACATTTTCCCCCCTTTTAGTTGATCCGTGTATTCGCAGGGATTAGTCTATTTTATATTGTTACAGTTTCTACCATTTTAATTTTATTGGTAAATAACTAATAAATTAGTCGGGACTTGTTGGATTCTATAAAGTGGAAGAATAACTGAAAAACATTGGAATATATTAGTACGAAAAGTTGATTCAGAACCACAATAATAAGCTATCAGAATATAATGTCACTATTGTCCATTGTGCAATATTTCTATTCATGTCAATATGTTAAATTTGTTCTGTCTTTTCTTTTACAGGCGTAGTCTTTCTATAAGTTTTATATTGTATTTTTCCCCTAAAAAAGATCGAAACTTTGTCATCATTGTTAAGGCTATGTATTTTTTTTCTATTTCCTCACATCGGGGGTGTCAATTGTTTCAATGTTATTCATAAAAACTACTTGATTACTCCATGTTTCAGCTTGTTAACAAATGCATATAGTGATTTACTGACTTAAATGTGCTCCTGGATGGCTCAGTGTATAAGCACGAACTTGACATTTACTGTACTGATACACATTAAAACACTTAGGCCGCACCACAAATATTCAAAATTAATCATGTATCACGTCTCCGTACACGTTGACTGTCTTAATTACATGGATGATCCAGTAAAACTCTTATGAATGATTAAACTAATAAAATGCTTAAATAATACTTTCCTTCTATGTGAACAAAAGCATTAATCAAATCTGAAAATGACGATATATACGGTAGTAATAATAATCTCTAGGATCAAATTGGCTGATGATTATACAGAGATGATCCTCTGTCATCTCCACACTTTTTTCCATGGGCACTGATATTGCACAAAACACAGATTCTTTGTTTCATGTGAACCGATATTGTAGAAATTCAATAATACAGGATGATCAAATACCTAGAGCCTGCAGTTTCCGTCAATTATACGTGATCTTTCTCATCCTTCTGACAAATAGGGCGAAATGTCAATATTAGCCAAAACTAAAGCCGATTGATTCAGGTTAAGCATGTAGAGGAAAAGGCTTCAACTATTCAGGTTAAGCTCACCCTGCACCGTACCGCATGAATGTAAATAAAACAAAAGAATTGTAAGTACAGAAATGTTTTGAGAGCTGGAAGAGATCAACGAGGCAATATGCTCAAGCGCATACACACCCATCAATTAACACTTCATTAAGCTGGTCAAAGGGGGTCTTAATTGGCAACCTTGTTGGAAATGGGAGCTCCTGATTGATTTTGTCATCCAGCTCCTGATCTTTTTTTCAGAAAAATACGAGCACCCATACCCGGGAAAATGCAGGTTCCACTAAAAAAAATCTAACCACCAGAGCTATGCTCAATTAAAAAAACAATTCTATTATATATCTAATACATAACTATTATGAGAAATTTTAGTGTGCTTGAAAAAAATGAGAGTCGTCCATCCAGCGAAATCGAATGGTGGAAACAAAGGAAGTACCAAAAATAGTGAGAAATCATGGGTTCCAAATTAATAGGGACTAAATCTAAGGGTTTATTTATTTCCATCTAAGTTGCCGTAGTTCTTACATTTCACAGTTTTTTTAGTACTAGTTGGATGTCCATATCAACTCCCTTTTTAATTGTGTATCCGTACCTAGCTTGTCTCTCTAACACACACATTCCATCCAAGCCCTCCTCCCTAGCTGCCATTTTATATATACTAAAATCTTGCCATGCCATCGTTCTATCTATTCTTCCTGTTCTTAATACTAGCTAGTAAACTAACACAATGTTAATTTGTAAGTTATTTATATATGTGCACAAGTATTCTTTTTGTCAATACACCTGATTATTGTGTGCGGGTTAACTGAATTTCAGGATTTCGTGGCGACAAATGTTGATGGTGCCAGAGAGGAAATACTTAGCCTAGTTCAGAGGAACAGCGACAACAAGATCATCTATTTTAATGGTTGGGATGGCTTTGGGACCGCCGCAGTCCTGAAATCCATACACCAATTAGTTTCATCTACCAAATACCCTCCTTCAGAAAGGTGCTTTGACAGAACAATTTATATAGATTGCTCAAAATGGAAAAGTAAAAGGGTGATGCAGAGAAAAATTGCAGATGAGCTAAAACTTGACCATAAGATCATGGCCATGTTCGACAAGCAGGATGAGGAGGATGACTTCAATGGAGTGGACCATGGATCTAGGGATGTGATAAGAAATGTTGCAGGCATGATTGACCAGGTTCTGAGGGACAGTAAATTTATGGTGATTTTTCTTAATGGGAGTGATGAAGAAATTGTCCTAAGTACATTTGGTATTCCAGAATATCGTGACTGTATAATAATATGGACTTTTAAAAGAAGATTTATGGCAATGAGTCCCCGATATGGTAAGATAGCAGATAAACTAAGGTACACAGATCTTTTCCTCTTTGGCCAGCATGGTTATTCTGAATTATCAAGTCCACAGCTTAGTGCACTGTTTTGGGAAGAAGCTACCAACATAGTTGCTTGCCACCCATGCATTCGAGACATCAACCTAACAATGGTCATTGATTGTTGTCTCTATGGGTTATTCCTGTATTACAGCCTCCATAACACCACTAGATTTGGTTGGGCTGCTCACGCTCCCAACTATTGGATATATGATGGGATCATTCAAGGGGATAGAGCAAGAGAGATTAGTAATGCATTGCACCCTGAAATAAGCTTTGAGTGTGATGATTATCTGCTCGACACTGTCTGCCGCAAGATCACGCCAGATTCAGGGACTCCTTTTCTGGTTAGACGCGGCATGATGAGTTTTTTTTATTTTTATGTTGAGAGGCCTTATCGCTGGATTTCGATCAATTCGAAGAATTCAAAGAGTGGAGTAATCTCAAAGAAGGAAATGCATGAGCATATGCTAAAAATAGTTCCTTGCGCATCATCAATCTTCCTATCATCTGGAAGGACCGAAAGCCCACTTATATTACAAAATGCCTTGTTTGAACAGTGCAAAAACCTTGGTGTGTTGGTTCTCTCTTATTGTGCCTTCAGTTTTGTATCACCACCTTTTCTCTGCTGCCAGATGTTAAAGTTCCTTGGATTGGACCACTGCACAGATAGCAATGACACCAAGCTTGAAGGACAGGGCTGTACCGCCGAGTGGGCATGTCTACATAGCCTGTCGGTGCTTGACAACCGTTCAACTGATTTGGACGAGATCTTATCCGAGGAAAAGATAGGTCTCATGGCTAACCTAGCAGAGCTAAATATAGAAGGAGTCAGATGCTGGCAATACACAAGTCAATTGCAGAAAAGATTACCTAACCTTGAGAGGCTCCGGATAACCAAACCCGTGTGTCAAGCAGAGTTCTCAAAAGATATCAGCAACTCATTTATGGACAAGACAAAGCTGGAACTACTTGATTTATCTGGTAACAGTGAGATGAGAAACCTACCAACAAGCCTATCCATGGCGAGCAACCTTCAGGTTCTTATTCTTGATGGTTGTGATCAACTGGAGAATGTTGTTCTGCCTAATGGGCTTCCTTCTTCACTAAGGTCATTCAGCTTCGATGGATGTGGACCGGCACCCAACTGGACATCAAGCACTGATCTGCCTTCAGAAAGCTCCCGTCCAAAGTGCCCGTCTGATGCAGATAAGAAAGATGTGAAAACCACAATGATATACCTACAAGGATGTACACTGTTGGAGAATCTGTTCTTGCGCGGGCTACGCAATCTTGTGGAACTAGACCTTTCAGGATCTGCAATCAAGATACTAGACTTTGAAAATATGGTGGTAGATGTGCCTAGCCTGAAGCGACTCTTTCTGATGGGCTGTGAGCACCTTCGTGCAATTATTTGGGGGTCAGGTGGCTCTATGAAACAACAGGAGCTGGAGCTTCTCTGCGTAGACACACGACCCGGGAGCGCACATGGATGTATGGCTCGGCCATCTCTTGCCCAGCATAAATCCTTCCGGCTGCAGGTGCATGCTATCATCACGGATGCTAGGTTGGCTAGGTCCTTGTGGGTTCCAATAAACCGTGCACCATACACGTCCTATTACAATATCAACATCACATCTTCAGGTACTGTGTGTGGTAAGGTTCTTCAGATTAAAACAACAAGCAACAAGATGACTGAGCCCAGTTGTGCTCCATGTGATCATCAACGCTACCGTGTTTTAGCCGCAGACCTCTATGGTGATGCATATTGGAAGGTTGGTGATGGCCCGACCCCGATGCAGGCCTTCCCGCTTCCTCCAACTCCACAACTGGATCGTCATATCGAGATTGGCAATGGGAGCTGCAGCGTGCAGAGTGAAGTTGAGGACGTAAAGTACAAATATTACAGTTTAGCTGGTCTGATGACACAGTATACCCAATCCTTGTATGTGCATGATGTCTCAACCTGCAGCAATACCATGGCTAAGGGAACATGGCATGCGCTCAAGTGGTGCCGTGTAGAGAGGTGCTCCAACTTGGACGCCGTCTTCCCTCCAGGAGCAGATGAGAACGATATGCTTGAGACCATCTGGGCATCAGATCTCTTAAAGGCCCGCTGCATCTGGAGCCAAGGTTTGCATCGGTTTTGGTACTTCCATGGCCTGCGGCAGCTTCATCTGCGCTCTTGCCCCAGCCTCCGCTTTGCAATCCCAGTGTTTCGCCCCTCCTTCCCTAGCTTGGAGACCCTCCACATCATGCATTGTGGTGACCTCAGACACATCTTTGTACTGGAAGAAAAGAGCCAGACAAGTGTCGAGTTCCCGAGGCTGACCACCATCCACTTGCATGACCTGCCAGCACTGCAACAGATATGTGAGGCCACCAAGATGCCAGTACCAGTGCTCGAGACCATCAAGATCAGAGGTTGCCCGAACCTGCGCCGGCTGCCAGCCTTGAAAGGCCGCGAACCAGGCATGAGGCGACCGACTGTGGAGTTGGAGAAGGATGTGTGGGACGCACTGAAATGGGACGGTGTGGACGCCGGGCACCACCCTTCACTCTACGAGGAACCAGTGCACTCGCGCTACTACAAGAGGCGCTTTCTCAGGCGCACCGTCCTCAGGTACGTGCACAATACACATATACGTAATGTATAGGTCTCATCAGCTACTGGTTGCATCGCATCTCTGTTTTTCAAGCTAATTAATTAAGGCAACTTGCTAACTCTCTGTGCCTTTAATTTCTTCTCACTCTGCCCAGGTGAGATCATCATCATGATTGGGATGTGCTCATGTGCATATCTGCTGCTACCACGTCAGTGGCTTGTTTGTGTGCGATGGATGCTTCTGCTGCCGCCTGCTGTCGTTGGACGATGCTGCGTGTCGTGTGTTTCATTTGCTTAGGTTGTGTGACGGCCTGCCTGCGTGGCTAGCTACTCGGCAAATGGATTGCCGGCTACAACAGCCGCTGTGCTACCTGCTTGTTTGGATTGGTCAGTTTGTTTGTCAAGCAAACCAAGGTACGGGCTTCAGGTTGCCTCCTGCCTTGACGGCCGGCCGAGTTGGCCTGCCTCCGTTTGCTGTGTGTTTGGTACGTTTCCAAATAACAGAGACGGCCGCCTAGTTTGCAGCTGCCTATGCGTGTCCTGGAGCGAACATACGTGTGCCTTGCCATTGCAGCTGGGTGTGCGGCCACCTGCCTGTGCGTGTCTACGTGCTTGATTTGTGTGGCTTCAGCTTGATGAGTGCCTGTGTCTGTCTGTCTGCTACCACGGCCCATTTGAGACGGGTCGGAGTAGGAGCTGATGATACCATTAATTGTAATAAGCAGCGTGGCTCTGCTCGTGTCGCATGCGATTTCATTGGTCATGGAGTGCTTGTTTATGTGTTGTATGTATCTGATGAAACCATGGTGCTGCTGGTCGTGTGCCTGCCCCGTGCAAGCATATGCTGCCGGCTGTATGGATTGGTGAAACATTAAGCTACACTTGTGATAAAGTTTATGGTGTGCGATTGATTTGTACATATGCTCTATCTTTGTTGCTGTATTATAGTAGTATTAGTAGACCATTGAGGCAGGGCGGAGCCAGGATCTAGAAAACAACCACTAGTATTGTGTACCGTAAAAGAGCTCCTCTAAATAAAGGAAAAAAAATTATAGGAAAACTTTCCATGGTGCTTAACGCTATTCCTTCTATTAAAACCAAGAGCTCTTTTACAATGGTTGTAAATGTTTCCTAACGCTTGCTGACGCTTTCAGACGCCTACCCAAAATTGCTATTTTTGTTGTTTTTATTCGTCCAAGGACATTATGGTCATTTCGCATGTCCCCACTTCCGTCCTCGTTGCGCCCCCTTCCCCCCAGACTCCAATCCCGCGGCCTCGCCGTACTCCCCCACCCCACCCCACGTCGAACTCCCCAATCCCACACGCACCTCACCCTAGCTGCCCTCGCACGGCGTGCCGGCGGCCCTGCCCCGCCGCCGCCCCCGCCCCCAGCGCGAGGCATGTGGTAGTCGCCTCCGTCGCCGGTGGCCCTGCCCTCTTCCTCGCTCATCGCAGCGGCAGTCCTACTCTCGCCCTCACTCATTGAGGCGGCCGCTGTGCCCTCGGCCACAAGCCGACGGTGGCACCAAGGCAGCGCCGCGGCACCCAGCCAACGTCGCGCCCCCAGGCAGCGGCGCGGCACCCAGCCAACGGCGCGCCCCCAGTCAGCGGCGCGGTTCGCAGGCAGCCCCCAGGCAGCGGCGGATCCGGTGCTCTCCTCGTCTCCACCTCATTCAACTTGGCACCAGGGACTCCAAGGCGGCGAGCTCCTCCATCTCCGGCACGGCAGCCGTGGTCGCGTCACAAAGCTTTAGATCAGCAATGGAGGTGTGTGCCCTGAAACCCTATCAACTCTAGAAGTTTTGCTTCAAAATCAGTTCCTTTTATTAGGTGTCATTCAAATAGGAATACTGGAAATGATTGTGGTACTGTTCCTTGCTCCTTAATTCTTGTAGTCTATGCTTAAGCTAGAAGAGGTCTAGAAGTTCCTGTAACATAACTTGCACTTTCGACGTAACATAACTGCACTTTCCACCGATCTGTGATGCTGTTTTACTGTAAGTTACATCCCAAAATTTTGAAAGGAAATAATGAATGCATTGTTAGTGTTAGTCATTGTAGAAAGTTTCTGGAAATAGCTATGCAACCGTATGGAACCCACCAGTAACAAGCAAGTTATGCTTCACTGCCAAAGTACTAACTGGAGTTTGATAAAATCCCTCGTAGTAATTCCCATGGACCATGGTGCTTCTGAAGTCAAAGCACAAAGAACGTAAGGCTGTGTTGCCATAAATCAAATAGACAAGGCTCTGCAAGAAAAATGACAAGTTCAAAGGATCATTCAGACCTCACATGGTGTGACATGTCCTTGCAGATCAATTACTTCTTGCTTCTTACAAGTCAGTGCTGACCAATGAAGCACAGAAAAGTTTGACATAAGATACACGTCGTGCCTTGTTTAGAATTTCAGATCAGTTGAATGAGTGTTTTGTTTAGAATTATTTCATTTTCCAAACAAAATAAATGTAAATTTACTTAATTAGATAACAATGCATATATCTCAAAGAGTTCTGAGTGACCTACAATGCACAACAGGCAACTAAACCTGCTGGCCAAGAATCAGAGATAAGGTATCATATACTGGGAAGTGTACAGCTACATCAGTGTGTAGTGCAAGCCCAGTAGTTAGTTGGACCTTGTGATGCTGCCCTCAACTGAACTGAAACTGAAACACTGCACTCACCGCTTTACTGGAGAATATAGCTTTTCTTTCATATCGTTTGAACATTGTCACATGATCATCATTTTCCTTTCCTCTGATTTTTGTTCGCTGGGAATATGTTAGTATTGTAATCTGTACAATTTTACAGCCTGGAAATTTACATGGAATGGATAGTGTACTTCAGTTGGTGACTACAGTCAGTATCATGATGCTTGCTTGGCAATTGTAACCATTTTTCTTGAATTTTTGTGTTGTCTTTTACTCGTTCATCCCAATTTTAGCCCAAAATATTCTGCCTTATCCTTTTAGCTACTAAAAGTTCACTTTACATGTAGGGAGAAGGGCCTTCTCGAGTTCACTTTAGCTACTAAAAGATACCGAGCAGTGGTCAATTTGCAGTGGTTAAAAAATGGATTCCCAAGATTACGTTCACTAGGGGAAGGGCCTTCTCGAGTTTGGAGCTGTGCTCATGTTGGAGATTGTGTTGCTGGGGCTGTCCAGATGCCAAGATCAAATAGCATTGCGCTATTGACTCGGAGTGGTCACAAGAGGCATGCATCTTCGAAGGGAGAGCCCAGCAAAGACTGGGTTGAAACATCAAAAAATACTTGCATGCAACTTCCTAATGCACTCAGTAGGTTATATTCATGACCTCGCATTGTTATAGTTGCAAGGTTATGTATGCTTACGAATGTTTTCATGGCTTAATGGTCCGACTAGGAAATGACATAGATATGCTTGTGTAGCTGACTAAATTTATCTCCTATCAGTTATCACGGTTGCCACTTGTGCATAAAGGCCTTAGGTGTACGGATTATTTTTATGGGCTGAATCTGTTCCGGATGAAGTCGTATGTGCTGGAAATCGCAGGTAAACTGGACTCTGTAACTGCTCATCCAGTTCTATGAAACTACCGCAATTATCCCTATAGCCGTACGACCCTACTTTGTATGATTATAACGTTGTTAATGTTGAGACGAGATTTGACACTGCAATGAGACATCGATAAGCAGAATTTGTTGGCTGTAACATTGAACTTGGTCGCTACTCTGTATGATCTGTAAACCAAAACGCAAATTGGATCATGCTAGAAAAGCAATTTTTCAGGTGCTCGTGAAACCTTTCCCAGGAGGTGTTGACATTGCTTTGGTTGGCTCTGAATGGAATCTCGATTTTTTTAAGTGTGAACTTGAGTTTTTCTTATTTTTAAGTTCTAGCTTTTTATTAGCAATTAGTAGTGTAACTCAAAACAATTAGCATGGATTATAGATGAGGAAAAGATTGTGGAGGGTGGAAAATAAATACAATACATAGAATTTGGATATGAATGGTGATAGCCTCACTAGCGGCAGATATAAAAAAAATAAATGGTGGCAAAAAAATCTGTGCCACGGGCCAGCGTCAGCTAGGTTGGGCTCAACCAACGAGGGAGCCCAACACAGGCCGCGCCAGCCCGATTGGCATAGGTGACGAGCGAGAGCAGGTTTGTATAGTTGAGGAGTTCAATCCCTGGTACTTCTCATGTTCTTTTATGCCGTGTTCTTAGATGCTCAGCTAGCGAGGTGGGACTAAACCGGATGCAGATGGATGACTGCCGTATTCATGTGGCTTAGTTGGGCCACGACCTCGTGATGGGCAGGCCCAGCCGCCGCCCGCTCCCCCTCCTAGCTTCATCACGTGCGCGCGCAGGCCGATAGGCCCAGCAACCGCGGCCGGGCGCACGCGTCAGCGACCCGGTCCCTTCTTCCCCGCTGCGCCGCATCGACCGGGCGAATCCACCGCCGCCCGATTTCCTCGCACGCACCCCCCGAGGTTCCCCGCGCCCGTGCATATATAGATTAGGCCCAGAGCACCGCGCCGCCCCCTTTGAACCCTACAGGAGCCGCCCCGAGCCCTAGCCCTAGCCCGCGCACCGCCATAGCCGCCGCCCGGAGCTGTACCCGCCGCCGCCGCTGATCTCCGCCTTCACCGCGTCACCGGTGTCTAGAAGCCTCCACGACCTTCGCAGCGAGGTGAGCAATCCGCCAGTGCCATTCGTGTATCTCTTATGTAGGTATTTTTTGGTTTGGTTGATGGAAATCGACAAGGTTTTCAGTTGCAAATGCAGTTGTTGTGAGCCTAGTATATCTCTAATTTGAAACATGTGAGTTGACATGTTCTTCACTTTTGCTTTCAATTTAAGTATTCAGATTTCCATACACTGTAGAGGCAGGAGCAAACCTAAATTCATTTCAGATAAACACATACCATACTACTCTAATCCATACTGTACTGCGAAAACAACTCAAACAATACATGTCTTTTCTACTACTTCAGAGAAAAGAACATTGTATAATATCATCTAAATTTTGTCAAAAAAAAGTAATAGGCTGTGTTGCTGTACCATACAGATAAAGTAACACCCTGCTCTGCTATGTTGCTTTTTCAGTTGGGCTCCAAAGCAATAATGATGCTATACATATAATACTCATAGATGTATTGATTCTTCAGTTGAGCTGCAACTGCTGGTTGCAACTGTTGGCTACTTCAGGTGTGGGTGCGGAGCAATTTTTTATAGCAGCAGCTGCATTAGCAAATTAATATAGTGTCTTCCTAAGTAATTTTTTATTGCAATGGATTTTTAGTCTATTGGATGTAGTTTTAAAAGGGTTTCAATGTAGCATGGCACTTATTCTTGTTTTTAAATCTCTAGGTGTCATGGATGGTAGCAACGACATGCAACGAGTTCGGAGGTCCCTGGAAGAGGGGGAGGAGATGGTTTGCAAACAGAAGGCGAACCGGCACAATCTGGATTTAGACATACAGCTTGAACGTGTCCAAGCTGAAATCAGGAGGAGAGAACAACGATGTAAATTTGACAACTACATATCACTTCAGCGTGCCGAGCTGGACAAAGCGCGACAATCAAAATATGCACACGAGGGGTACATGATAAATTCACCAGTACGCGAGGAGGGTCTAAGCAACCAAAAAGTAAGTATGGCATCTACTTATGTGCCCAAGCTCTGTGTGCCTAATTCATTATTTCCTAATTGTGTAGATGAAAAGCCTTGAAGAATGGAAGAACGACACCGAAACTCACCTTGGATTGCAAGTTGAAAAAAAAACTATTGAGATGGAATACAAACTTGGTAGTAAAATACTATCACAAAATGAGGAGTTTGCTAAGTTTAAAAAAGAAATGAGACTGGAAGCTTCCAGGGCGAGTAAGATTGAAGCTGAAAATGCACAAATGAAAATGGAAATCAAGGTAACCAGCGTGAGAATACTTATTTTAGCTACCCATCCATGCTTCATTATCTAACAATGTGACAAAAAACAGGAACTCTGACAGCTAGTGCAGCTTCTTATCCAGCCTACTCCTACAACTGCACATGTTTAGCCACTTATGCCTACATCTGCAAAAGTTCAGCCACCTATGCCTACATCTAAAAATGCTCAGCCATCTTCTATGACTACATCTGCACATCTGCAGGTATTACATCTGCACAAGTTCAGTTATCACTAGTTCATGTCTGGTGCTACAATAGATACTTTGGAATTTAACAAAAAAATACCAATTGCAGGAATCACACCGCAAACGTTTCCAACAGACATTGGCAAGAATAAATGATGAAGCACCCACTGCAAGAAATGGTAGGACGGAAAACATCATGCAACAGAAAGGTGGCCCCTCTACAAATAATGAACTAGGGAAGCATATTATCGGCAACCCCTCTACACATATCAAACCAAGACAGCCCATTATCGACAATAATTACAATTTGAAACAAATTGACACAGACGCTGCCATCTTCTTAGTATCAAGTTACGACCATGCTACGGTTGTACACATAGATGGCCATGTTCTTACAGCAGAATAGCTGCGCCAAAATGTCACAGGGGGCTTTATAGTAGATGAGGTAACATCATTTCAGATCCATGTCGCCAGTACAAACATGCACACACCTACTATGTACTAACTCAACATTTTGCAGGTCATAAATGCCTTTGTTCATATCAGCAATGTGGAGAATGAGTCGGCATCATATATAACAACGTTCCAAGCCCATAAGTTGGCAACAAATAATCTGGGTCCTGACAAACGCTCGACATTCATGAAGATAATTGCCGAAAAATGTGAAGGAAGGCATTTGGTACGTAAAACTGATTTTGTTTTGACACTTTGGCTTGGTTGCTATCGCGTGTTGTACTATGAATCGTGGAAATCTTGCCAGTTTGGATTATAGCCATACACTCAATAGTTTTCAATTATTTTTCCTAGGTTTTTCTGCCAATGCATATCAACAACAACCACTGGGCTCTCCTAGTGTTGAATTTTATAAAGATAGAGGTACAAATACTTAACTCTATACCAGGAATTCGAGATAGAGACCTAGAGAAGGCATTGGTAAGTACAAATCCTCTGTGTAACTACAAATACCGGTTGATCAAACTTAACATATATCTCGCCATCCACTAGGTGGAAGGGACATGCATCGAGTATTCGGTCAAGAGAGACTTGGTTATATTTGTAAAATCAATTAACTTGCGCGACTGGGATATAGTTCCCTATGATAACATACCGCACCAAACCGATAGGTACTCTTTTTCCTTTGCTATATTAATGTTGTACTCCAATTACTTATGTTTATGTTCCGTTGCAGTATTTCGTGTGGGGCGTATGTAATCAAATATATATTGGCATGGGACGGAGATCAAATGGCTCATGATTTCACACCGGTGAGTCTTAGAATTATTGTCACTTCCAAATTGCTACATACTGAAACAAAAACTGCTACATGACATGCACTACTTTCGCTTATATAGAAGGAAATGAAAAGTTTTAGATTCAGAATATGCACGAGGTTGCTCCATTCTGAGCGCAACCTGGAATACTTACCCTCAAACGGAAAACCTATCACGGTCTATGCTTTTACTGCATATTAAATTATTTCAGTTGCAACAAATTGTTCCAGATTGTCGGGTCTATCTAACATTTTTTTTGGTGGATGATACTTAGAAGGAAGACTACTTTGCAAAATATCCGGAGGAACGAGGGGGGCACGAACGGAATGAAGACCGCGAAAGAATGTCGAAACTACTGTTCTCACTTTGGAGAGCACCGAATCTTTGAATAAACGAGTGCGACGCGCAGGGCGATTCAATGGTAGCCCTTGGAGGGAATAATTGTATAGCAGGAACCACATAGTGGGTATACAGAGCAACCAATAGTTTCTCAGTATGCATCTCCTTTAAAAAAATGTAAATATCCTCACCTAAAACACTTTGACTAAAAACCGTAACTAGCCTAAAACCTTGTGTGACAAAGCCAGTCAACTACAAAGGGAGACAATGGCACAGATTTGAGGATCCAAGGGCAGATTTTATATTATACATGTATTACTGTCTTGCGGCCAACATACGCTTCAAAGCTGTTACATTAAAACAAAGAAGGATTAATATGTAAGAAAGCTGCTCCAGATGTGTGACACGAGGCATTCTACAAGTATGAAATGTCCATAAACTGCTAAAGCATCTGTTTAGGTGACAAGCCATGTATGCGACCAGGATCCATAATAATGGATTAGATACATGTGACTAAAATCCTAACGGCTATCCTTAGGGTAAGACATTGCCATTCAAAACAACTTAGTAGGGCGAAATCCTAAAGGCAACTAGGCAGAATCTAACTACGGGACGATAACGAACAATTTAGGATGTCTGCCAGTCATGTTCCACAGTGGGATAAAGAGTGATTGCCCCAAGAGATGACACTCTAGGGTGTACTAGGCCAAACAGGCCCTTAGATCTACCATTTGACCAACGACTGGCCACTAAAGCAAAGGAAGACGCAAACGTGAGCCCTTAGATCGAGAGGAAGGAAGAGCAGACGGGTCAGCGCCAGTGAGGCGAAGCAGAGGTAAGCGCCGCCGGAGGTGGTGGTCAGGAATAGGATGGGGGAGAGAGCGGGACGAGACGACTCACAGCTGCAGCCTCGAGGTACTTGTTGTGCTCGGAGTCGGTCCAGCTCTCGCGCGACTTGGTGATGGTATACGGCTTGCGCACCCTCCGGGGCCCCTCCTCCTCCTTGTTCCCAACCGACGGCACGGGCACAGGCACGGCCGTGGGCGCGGCGGCGGCGGCGCCCTCCTACGCCCACCGCCCCTCCTCCTCCTCCTTTCCACCCCCGGTGACGCCCGAGACCGACGGATCCAGCGGGTGCGGGGTCGTGCTCATCGACACCATCGGCCTGCCACTGCGCTGCTCCCTCCTCTTCCTTCCTCGTAGACCCTAGGGTTGGCGGTGTGGTGGTGGTCCAATGCTGCTGGCGCTTGGCGTTTCGCTGGTGTCAGACGTGAGGCAGGAGAGGACAGAGGAGGAACAGTGGTGACCGAACGGGTGGTGTGGTGGGGAAGAGCTCTTCTCCTGTCCACAAGTTTCTACACACCCTTTGCTTCTCTCTCATTCCCCGCACAACCTTTGCTTCTCTCTCGTTCCCCAGCCCGGTCCGGTCTTGGGCTTCCATTCTATTTCGTATGGCCACGGACTGGATGCTCGGCCCATCATGAAATAAATGGCCAGAGCCTTCGTTGATAGGCAGGCGCCGGATGGTTTAGTCCCACCTCGCTCGCAGACCAACCAACAACGCAGCATAAAAGAACAGGCGAAGTGGCAGACATCGAACTACTGAACTACAATGCATACTCTCACTCTTGTCACTTGGGCCAATTGGGCTGCCGCAGCCGGGTTAGGCTCCCTCCGTGGTCGAGCCCGACCTAGCTGATGGCTGGCACTTTGGCCCGTGGCAACAATTTTTTTGCCCCCATTTATTTTAAAATAAAAAAATGATTATATATCTGCACTTTCCTTTTCCATTGCTGAAACTTCTGTGTAATCTGCTACTTAGATATCATCTAACTCTCAGACCACTTACAGATATCAGAAAAAGGAGGACATGATCCAGTAATTCACCAAAAGGTCATGCAGGATAACTGCCCTATTGGGAAGGAAATTGACACCCAATGGTGTTTTGGTAGTCAAAAAGGGTGCACAGGTTTGATAGATACAAAAGACCCAATAACTGATAACTTTTACTTAGTAGCAAACCACAGTTAAATTACAGAGCACCTTCACAAAACATGGTGCTGCGGCAGCAACTATAGCAAGACCCTCACAGGCCCTAGAATTGCTGGCATAACTTTACTGACTAAGTGCCTCTAGGTTCTTGTATGCTTTGAGCTCATTCAAAGCACTATCCAGCAAAACCTTCTTACTGCCATTGATCACTCTCATTGACTGTTTGAGCTCACTCTTGGCTACAATCAGCTCGTTTTGCAGTTTCTTGATCTTCAGCTCATCCCTGATCTTCTCGAGGCCCCTGATCTTCGCCTCAATGAAATGTAGGCTCTCATGGTCTGGTTGAACTCCTGATGGTACCAAAGCCCAGGGCATGTCATCTCATAAAGGTGGAGTAGAGGGTGTAGGGTGCCCACCTTGTGAACTGCTTCCTAGAACCAATATCATTCTCTGCAAACAAGTACAGGTGTTAGTTTCTATAGCTTTCAGACATCAGAAACGCCGGATCGTTCTTTCACATATGCTTCTCCTTGCAGATTCCCAAGCACATGGCTCTTCAGATATTTTGATCAAACTATTGCTGAAAATTGAGCTGCTGCCCTATCTAGCAGTGGCCTACCATACTCTTGGTTCTTCTTTCAAATGACTGCTGCCAAGAGCTTGTGCCTTCAAATGAAAGCAGTTACATATCAAGAGTGAGCATTTCAGTAGAACCCAGTGATAAGAGAACATCAGTATATTTGTCAAAAGAAAATGCATATTGCTAATTGAAACTTATGACATTGATAACGCTATTACAGAAATTACTAATGAGTGTACATTTTAAATAGTCCATCTGTATTTGGCTAACAAATAAGCAATTTAAGTAGCACCAACTATTCGTTGAGTATGATTTAGTTATGGCAGGACAAAACAGAATATCAAGCCAACGATAAAAACGATTTTGGAGTAACTGGATATCAAGGATTCCAAAAACTGCAAGCAGCAAAGGTTCTCACCAGACATTTCCTATAATTGGTTCTTTTCTCAAACAATCCTGCAATTGGTTCTGACAGGGAGATTGATTGTCAATCTGATATAAAATCATCATCAGTATCACATTCCTTAGTTTCACTGCCCTCCCACATATAGTGGAGTCCATCTTTAGGCTTCAACCAGTCCAATTTCGTAATGCTATCCTAACCCTAGAATGGAAAAAGAATGCAGGATAACCAACCTAACAAAAGGTCACAGTGGCATAATCCTTCCTTCGGGCATTTTTCTGTCAACTCGGCCAATTCTTTGGGGTGGCCAGATTATGTGTGTGACCCTCCCCCGCAACAGACCCATAGGAACCTGCATGTATAAAGTGTTTTGGATGTTTTAGTAACAAGATCACAGATGCCTAGAAACTCGATCTGCTACACTGTGCAAACAAGTATTTCATAATGAGTGCTGCTGGAGCCTGGGCGCCATTTGCTTGTCTCTTTAAAGGACAGAAAGATATGAACACTCAGAACCGAAAAAAGCTCAACGAGGCACTGACCTACTCTTTTATACTTGCCCACCTATGCTATTAGAATTAGAATAAAAGGCTTGCAAGATATCATATCATAATAAACCATGAGGAAACTATCATCGGAGAAAATGAATAGGAGTGGAGATATTGAAGGCTTCAAGCTAGTTTTATCCACCAAACAAACAAGGAATGAAATTGATACTTTGAACTTTTTAATGGGGATACAAATATGAATAATGAAATAGCATTGTGTCAATGGCTCGGATTTGCAAACCATACAGTTCAATTCCTCCAGTGATCAAGATGCCAATTCAAGATGAAGATGCTTTCATCAAGATTAAAAAGATCCCTAGGAATAAATGACTAAAACTATCACTTTGGTAACCAAGTAAGCAACTGGCTTTTATCCTGTAACACAGCTACACAGTCAGGCCTTCCTTTTTGCAATTAACAAGCATTTTATCCTAGGCCAATAACGCAGTTGTGTCCAGTAACGAGATGAATAACTTACAGGGCCATAGGATCTCGAGTCAAAGCTGAGGCGGCATTGTCCCCTTCAACCCAGCAATGGCCCTCCGGGATCTGCCGGATCTCCTGCTTCTCCGGGATCTGGATCCAATCCCCAGGCAGCGCAATCAGCCTCTTCGCCATCAGCTCACGATGGTTCCTCGGCGACCTACGACGAGCAACAGCAGCGACATCAACAACCAACCAATCCAAGAAACTCCCACGGACCCGGAGGCGGGCGGGCGGCGGCGACTTAATTCACCTGAAAACGACGACGTCGCCGCGGGAGAAGTCGTAGCGGTAGAGGCACCGCTTCTCCACCAGAGCGCGCTCGGCCTGCTGCGGGTCGAAGGTGGGGTGCATGGAGGCGCCGTCCATGCTGACGACGGAGGCGACCCAGTCGGCGACGGTGATGCCAACCACGCTGCCGGTGATGCATCCCTTCACGAGCGGCCAAACGGCGGCCAAGTCTCTTGCCATGTGCGAAAAGGATCGGGACCTCGACGGGTGGCCTGGGCACCTACGACGCAGAGGCCGGCGAGCGACGGCCTAGCCGGCGAGCGAGGGAGTCCTTGATGTGCTTGGCCAGGGACGGCGGTGGGAATGGGCGGCGGAAGAACTGACGCGGCGTGGACGCCGAGGCCGCCG